GGCAGCTGCTTTTGTAGGTTTGCGGGACAAGTTCAGGTGGTGTCCGAAAGACGTGTGTTGCATTGGCCCAAAGTACCTTATGCTACTGATTGCGGGGGATGGTGTGTTTAAGTGGCGCATGCGCAACCGCGACTCTGTGGCGCACATACGTCCGAGTTGAAGTCGGTCGAGTGGAGTGACTTCAAGTCAGCGCGTCTGCAATCGCTCACTGCGAAGGTGAATGATACTGACCCAACGGGCCTTTGAACGAGGACACCAGACACGAAGACGGAGACACGTTCGCTGGGGCAAGAGCTTTATTAGTCCGACGTTTCGAATTCCCACTCGAATCTATCATCAGAGACAGAGCCAGATAAGGGTAGTAAAGTGCCACACGGATGACGAAATCCGGCAGTCAACAACCCGCCTGCGTGAGATGAGCGTAGGAGCCGATAATCTTGACCGGAACACATGGGGCTAGCAACAGCATACTTCAACACCTGGCCACCTGAGCCGTGATTCACTCGGGAGCTGCCAAGTGTGATGGGCATGGAGCGGCCTAGCAACTGCATCTTATAAATTCTACAACACCCGGGCAATCCACTACCCTTATCTGACTCCGTCTCTGATGATGGACTTGACTGAGAATCCGAAACGTCAGGCTAATAAAGCTCTTGTTCCAGCGATCTTGTATCCTTCTTCCCGACTAATTTCTGGAATTGGCTTCTGTTAGCATACGGCAGGCATGTTCATGATGGGTTTCGGCGAAAGGTGCATGCGGGTAAATGGGGACACATCTTCCAATCACCCATAATCTCCATTTTCAAGAACATACAACGAGGGAGTAGACGACCGCTTATCGTCAGAAATTACCTCGCTCCCTGCATAACAGGATTAGACAGGTTCAGGTTTCAGTACGAAGTGCTGTCACAATCAAGACGACAAAAAATGCTACTGTTGTCATGTCTTTATGAATCCGCCCACCTCCAAGTTGTTGCGTCGAAGGTAGGACGGCGGCAACTCGAGGGTTCCCATACCGCAAGATATAAAAGACAATAAAATGGACAAAGTCTAGTGAGTCGATGCAGTATACACGCAACTCATAAAACGGTAACAGCCAGCGTTCTCACCAGGCAAGCTACAGCCAAATTGCATGAGCCAGAACTTCTTCCGGTTCCGGCCAATCGGTGGAAGGAGAAATATCGGTCGGCGTCGGGGCTTGCAAGCCGGAGGTTGGGTGGAGCCGAAGACGGTATGAGTGAGCGCGGCGCTGTCAAACGTGAGGGCAGACCAGCTACGCTTACACCTGTCTTCGTTTTTCTACCACTATGTTAATTTATGCTGGGGAAGTATGCTTGCCAAAGCCCCCTCAAATCACAGTACTTGCTCACTCGCACTTGTGACGGTAGCCACGAGTACTGACTTAGCATGCGTTGTGGTTTAGGTCTACAGACAGAATAACTGATCACGTTTTATTTCACCTCTCCCACCCATATCGTCAGTCCGCCATCTTAATGAGACCAAAGACGGTTCCTGTTGAAATGACATCTGGAGCGACTGTGCCTTGGGGTTGGTGTAGTACACAGCCAAACCACTTTAATAGGTAATTAAAGAAAGCTTGGTCGATTGGTTATACTCCTACCCGACTATGTGATCATTCGTTGGGTACGGTAGCAGTTCAATGTAAGTTTGACAGTTGCCGGCGACGATGTCTACCATTTGCCTCACGACATGCTGGACGCAGGACAGTGGCTTGCGCAGCATCCGTCACACTCTCTCTTCCCCCACGCCCCCTGGACCCGGTAACAAGACAAAGTCAAGACGCCTGGAGACCGACTCGGACGCAGTGCCTGACTAAGTTAAACGGTGTTTGAAATCTACCAGGCACACCTGTCATGTCTCACATAAGTAAAAAAAAAAGTAAATGTTATCGACAGAAGCCTTGTGCACTTGTAACTGTGCATCTCGACTGAGTGCACCTCGATTCCAGAGCTTACAACGGAGGAAGGCAAAGGCCACACCTGACTGAACCACTGATGATTTTGCCTTTAACATGTCCCTTTGAGAGGTATCAGAAGCTCTCTGCCGAAATCACCACACTCCCCATCTACCGTGGCCGTGCAAAAAGATGATAATCTTTGTGGAAGAGGGGCGCGCACCGACCGCGTTACGAAGCTCGCTCGTCCCGTTTTGCCTTCTCTCCCTCTCGAGCCCCGCCGGAAGTCATACCATGGCGCGTAATACAAGCGCAATAGCATTGCTGACAAAGACAAGGAAGACTGGAATGACCATTTCTGGGTTAGTCACCGTCATCAGACAGCCGTACCCAACTCCGAGGTATGCAACCCACGAGACTTGAGCTCGCGACCTGTTGTTTAGCATTACCAGTAATGCTTTTCCGCATCCTATAGTACGTGCTGCTGTGGAGTTGCTGGCTGGGCTCGAAAGAAAGCCCCAAGGCACAACCGGACGGGTGAGTTCCGTAGCGCGAGTACTGAGCGCCCTTCTACCATTGTACACACCCATACGCAACCGACAGGACAACGAGCCCGTGGCTCAGCGGTAAGGGGCGTCAGACTTCTAACCAACAGGTTGCGGGATCGAACCCCAGGTGTTTCACACCCCGGGGTTGGGTGTGGCAGGCTGATGACGGCTAATATGCCAGAAATGGCCATCCCAGTCTCCCTCGTCTTTCTCGGTAATGCTATTCTTCCAGTGATCCTTGTCTTTAGAAAGTCTGTATTCAGACCCTGATCTGATCTGGGACGCCGCATCCCGCAAAGGAACTTTCGGACCCCGGAACACCACAAGCTCAGTCAACTGGCACACTTCGTAGAGGTAGACTTGTGGCGATCAACTTGGCACAGTGACAGCGCCGCCCGCCAGCTGACTGATTACGCCGCGTATGTCAGCTCTCAGCTGTCCGGCGTCGATCGATATTTTGGCCTTCAGTGATTGGACACAGCCGAACATGGCTCAGACCCATGCTCACTGCTCGCTTGGAGGAAGCGGCATCAACGGCTCTCTCTCTCTCTCAACATGGCTGAAATTACGCTTCCACTGTCTTCTGGGATGCTCTTACTCTCCCGGTCACATCAAAGATTGTCCCACCAAGCCTGTCACCCTGGTTTTTGATTTTGATAACTTTTCGTTTTCAAACGATCACATACTGACAGACCCATCGCACTAATGTGGCCCTCTGCCAGAACATGCCAAAGAACCTGGTCACTCAACTGGACAGCCCCAAACACACTACGGTCTGACTCTGAAGAAACAACTCTCCTCTCCACTTCCTGAGACTTTGGTTTTTGTCCACTGTGAATGGGGTTTGAGTCAGTCTACTTACAGTCGGTGAGCTAACTGATGAAATGTCAGCCGAAATCAAAATGCATTTTCGTTTAGAAAAGATTAATTTAGTAGGGTTGTAAAAGTAACCAGCCTGCAATATAATTCTATAATAATTCAGTTATCTCAGGATGTCAGTTTTCCAACGAACTTCTTTTCGGCTGCATGCAGAAATTATACTTTGTAAGAGTGACTACTTTAGTAGCATGCCTTTTTCTCGTCGATTTTCAAAGCCCTTAAGAATCCAATTATATTTCATAGAAAACATGCATAAAAATATTCTTTCGTTTGCTCATTCGGTTGGAAATGACGTCTTCTTCCAATTTTATACTCGAAATAAGGGTAATATTCGGTTTTCAAAAACTTTTCCAATTCCCGAATAATTTTGTACCTGCTCTGCCGTTACACCAGCATTCAGAGCTTCCAAACTACAAGCCATGTTTTTTTCGCGTACGGAAAACCGCACATTTCTCTACGGTATTAAGAGGAGACAATATAGGGTTCATAAAATTTAGCAGTGGATTTGATCCATATTGGTAACTTAACAAGCCACATTGGTAAACGCAGAGACATAGCGTTTTATGAACGGCAATTTCATGGTATCAAAAAATCTCACAATTGGAAACTTTTTTAAAACCGAATTATGTCACTCCTTCGAGTATAATGCTGAAAGAAGACTTTTTTCTACCGAATGGTCGATAGAATGAATATTTTTACACATTTCTCTATGAAATATGATTGAATTTTTAAGGGCATCGAAAATCAACAAGAAAAAGGCATGCTACTTAAGTAGTCACTCTTACAAAGTATAATTTCTGCATGCAGCCGAAAAAAAGTTCGTTGGGAAACCCACATCCGGGGGTAACTGAATTATTGCAGAATTATGCTGCATGCTGATTACTTTTACAACCCTACTTAATTAATATTTTCTAAACGAAAATGCATTTTGGAATTTCGGTTGACATTTCATGAGTTAGCCCACCTACTGTAAGTAGTTCCGATAGCACGCAGCCTGATCGACCGCCAGGAGTTTTACTGAACGGAATCAAATTCAAGGGTGGAATCCATAATACATGAGAGGGTGGACTGTCGGTAGACGCGGCTACGTTCGCTGAAGGGAGAAACGTCAATCAACGCATCTTCGGCCCGGCCACAAGGCGCGCTGATTCGTCTTTATTCAGGCGTCCTGCCATTAAGCCACAAAAAGATTCGGGAGAACGGCTTCTTACAAGTCTGTGAAAATGACAAGGACGCTTGTGGGAGGTCGTCTATACGATCAGCATAGATCTATCCGTCAGTGGCAGTAGTTAGGTTACTCGTGCCATTTACGTGGATAGACACGCTTTCTTGCGTGAGGGAGGGAAAAATTGAAAATCTCATGCTGCGGGCACGTTTTATCACAAAAACAGGCAATAATAGGGATGGCCAAAAGAACACTCTCACACAGTCATAAAGCCACCTAATCTGTCAGCGCTTCCTTGCATCTGGAGATTGGGTTCAGGTTTAAGTGGTTATGACTGTCTCTCAATAGGACAAATACAACCCGATTAGCGGCCCTCATAAATCGATTTCTTCTAAATATCTACGATCTTCGGCCACTTTCTGCCTTTAACTAAAAACCTAGAGAAGTACTACTAATGAATCTTGGACGAAGCGCAAGTTCGTTGTCATGTACAATGAATTATAGCAGTGGCAAAATCGAACATCGTCCAAAGAGCTCCAAGCCCGCGGCGAATAATTACAGTATAGTTTCTGAAGAGTATCCTGGAGGAGGAAGGGGAGAAGGAGAATATAAAGAGGCATCAGCAGAAGGGGAAACGGGGGAGGAGGAGGAGGAGGAGGAGGAGGAGGAGGAGGAGGAGGAGCAGGAGCAGGAGCAGGAGCAGGAGCAGGAGGAGGAAGCGTCAGTCGAAAATAACAGTATTACATGGGGTATCATCGAAAAGCAGTAGGGTACGCACCACCAAGCGAGATATCACGTTGGAGTTTCCAAAGGCCATAGTTCTCAGACTCATAATGAGTTCAATATCATCCATTTATCGGGAAATTCAACGAAAAGCGCCGTTGAGGAAGTGCTGCAATGCGTAACGGATGCGTTGAACTGACGATCATGTTACCTTGACAGATAAGTGACATGATACGGTCTCCTCAGATAAAAATATCTACTACGGATGGTCTGGACGGTTTAAACTATCACTGCACAAAGATTCCGATACCTGCAGTACACGGTCATGCGGAGGGGTAATGGAACAGCACCCGTGGAGACCCGTGGTGCAAAACTGCATTGCAGCTTGTAAAAGCTACTGTAAAATGAAACGAGACACAATGAGGATGAGTAGTACTAAGTGGGAGTTTCTGACAGAAGTGATTACACATGCACCATCCGGCGGAAGTTGGTGGTGGAATTGGCAAATAATACAGTCCACAGGGTCATAAAGACTTCATTACTATTCGCCTACCGTTGACAAAGTATGACAAGGAACAGTGGTTGTGCTTTGCCGAGGATCGTCTCACGCGGGTAGATCAGTGGCATAAGGTGGTCCTCTCCGACGAAATGAAATTTAATTTACATGACCCGGAGCGTTAAAGCACTGAATGACGCAATCTGCGTAAAGAGCTCTTTCCGCACAGTTGACGATCATGTAGAAGTGACGCTGCAATGGTTTCGGGAGCCTTTATTTCACGCGAGAAGTTGAATTTGATGCGGAAAACTGAATGTTTCGTCGCTCATTCAGAAACCTTCTGCTCAGATACTGTCCTTTTGAGTCAAATCAGCAGTGAGTGTGCAGGGTTTTGACGCTGCTACTGTGGAATACGTGAGGTCCAGAGAACGAAACAGTAGTAGAGACGATGGTTTGGCTATTTCGCAAACCGGCCTCAGATCAATTTAAAATTATTGCAACAGTGCATTTCATCAGTCGGAGAATCAACTTAACGAGATAAATCTGAATTTAAAGTAGGAAGCGAAAAGGAGGCAATATTACCTTCTGGACTCGAGTATTAACATTACAACACGAGTTGACTTATAACTGTGAGACAACCATTTCCATTGCCTGGCATTATATCGAAACCATTTTGTAAAAAAAACATGTTCACGCTAAGAGTTGTTCCTTCTTCGTATTCACACACACACACTCTCTCTGTCGTATAAAAGACTGGGCAGATCTGCGTAAAATCGTAGAAAAGGGGCTTACCGTTTCGGGAAAGTCACTGCGCTTCTCAGATGGCCTTCACCGGCCTTCATCGAGGGGGTCAACCCCAACTCCAAGGTCACAGTCAATACGTCAGCTGTTCATCGTCCTGTACACAGTCCTTCTGTGAAGCGCATGCACGTCACGGAACCCCTCACACTAATTCTCACTGACAGAGTTAGCCATGGAGCTAAAATGATTTTTGGCTTGTGGCATTCCTCCTTCTTCTGCTGCTGCTGCTGCTGCTGCTGCTGCTGCTGCTGCTGCTGCTGCTGCTGCTGCTGCTGCTGCTGCTGCTGCTGCTGCTGCTGCTGCTGCTGCTGCTGCTGCTGCTGCTGCTAAAATCAGCGACCCAGAGGGTGACCATGTCTTGCTCGGCCTTCACCAGGCAAGGAAGGCCATCTGCTTGCGGAACTGCGTGGTTGATTGCACCGATGTCAAAGCATTGCACTTCTTGCATTTGTCCTGCCAAGTGGCCATCGGCCCTGCTCACAGGCTACATCCACACTGCGGTTACGTCATAACCTGCCGAATGCCCGAACACGGTACAATCCCCAGCCATTTTTCCAAAAGGATAGCATGCTTTTGTCGTATAAAAACACAGCCGGCCCCAGAAACACAGGTCCACGAAGTCTTTGGTCGGAGGAAATGCGCTACCTCGGCAGCTCGCATCAGTTGGATCCGTCTGGTAGTCTTAAAACTGACTTACTGCCGTCAGCCTTTGAGTGGTGAAACACACCTTAACTGTGGTCGGATGGTTTATTTGAAAATCACCAATCGAGACCACTTACTGGCGCGCGTCTTCAAATGCGACCCTCTTGTCTGTCTTGAATAGTTAATTGTATGTTTTAAGAGCCTCTCCCCAGTTGAGCCTCTGTTTGCGAATCTATCGAAAACCAGTAGACGATTCCGGCAGTGATATGTGGTCCCATTAACTCAATTATTCGCCCTAATGCCTTCTGCAGCACGGGCATTGAGTCAGTAGCTGTGCGGCTTTTGTCGCCAGTTTTATGACCTCCAAGATCAAGTATCCGCACGTGTCATCTAACTAGACTGGCTTAAAATGTGTTGCCTCCGTCTTTAGGTAGAAAATGAGATGTTGGAAGCTTTATGCCGGGGGGGCAGCGGCATCGCTCACTTGCATTGCGCTGAAAGTACCAACAAATTCAGGAGACACAGACGCGTCGAAGTTGGTGGGTCAGCTGGCCACTGCAAAGGCGACGACCACCAGAACAAAACATCCAGTCGTTCCAGTAAGGCAGACTCGTACTGACGTTAAATCGACTGCTCTCCCCCTCGCCAATAGAAAGACTTGTCAAGCAACTCACCAAAAACAGGATGACACCACGCATAGACACGAAGGATAGTGGCATAATCGATAAAGACGAGGGAGACTGGAGTGGCCGTTTCTGGCTTCTTAGCCGTCGTCAGCCAGCCATGCCCAGTCATAACCAACAGGTCGCGGTAGTGAGACGCAAGTCTTCCACACTTTGAGGCAGGGTATTCCTGGCTGAAGACAGCTAATAAGCCAGAAATGGCCATTGCAGTCTTCCTTATCTTTATCGGTAACGCTATTCTGCCCAAATCGGTGCACTTCCTTCTAAGTGACAGGATGTCCTCTGCTTATATTACATGGCAGGAGACGAATGAGTTCCGTAAAAAAACGATCGGCAAGTGCCCCTCTACCACGAAGCAGAGTGTTACTCAATCTAGGGATTAATGTTTCCATGAGCTCCACACTTTAACGCCGTTGTCTGTGCTGCCCGGAAGTTAAATTTTCACATGTTAAAAGGATAAGTCGGGAAATATATTTGCTCTGTCGGTAACTTTTCCTTTAGTCGATTTAGGCAGACAGAACTTTCTTTTGTGAGTTGGAGGTCGCAAAAAAGAGATGCACAGGATTGGTTTTTTCGATGATAAGGTTGATTCACAAACCTGTCATGAATGATCGGGCAACAATTAGGTGCATTTTCTGTCGCTGGAAACTGGGCCAAGGTAGCTTTGCTTTCTAAATCTCGGATCAAAAACACAACAGTGCTCTGTGAGTGTACCGGCAAGTTAATCTATTCGTAAAATGCAGCCCAACCTCTGACACATGGGCTGTGGTGGCCACTGCGATATAGTTCTCCACTCTGATCTAAAAGTGTATTAAAGTGTGAAATCACCTCCGATCGAATTTGTGAGGGAGTTTGGCTAACTACCGGTTAGAGCGACAGCCTCGGACAAGGTACCAGCTCATGAATCACACTCAAAGGCCATTGCGGCGCCTTCTTTTCAGCTACTTGACGGAAAGTGGACACAACGATAGGGCGGAGTCCACTAATTTAATCATTATTAAGGCGCATTAACGAAGACAGCAGACATCTAAGGAGACTGTCTTTTCAAAGTCAAGATTATGTTTGATCATAATTTGCTGAACCGGATGTGTTTAGTTACTTGACTTGTCTAACAGTCTGAATGCCGTCATCACCACGGAAGCCATAAATGTCCACTTCTAGGGCTAAGACCTTCACCGGAATAGACGCTCAACGCTCATCCCAGAGAAGGATGGTAGTCAGTAGCATAAGGGCCGTAACCTAGAGTCTTACGATTCGCTGACGCGTTTACTGACAACCAGAAATCCACCAATTGCTTCGCGTAACCATGATAAACCCCACCGTGGAGTGCGCCATAATCGACACTGGCAAACGACGCACAATGTGTAGACGTTGGGAGGTGGCATGCGGTGGGCGAAGACTTCATGTCACACAGATGCTGCAAATGACACCTAAATTACTTCGTCTAGTCTTACCACCACTCGGCTTGAGTCGCATCTGCCATCGCTGGTATGGGGAATGGGAGAGACATTGACACCGCCCCGTCCCGGAACGAGCATTAAGCTTCCCATTGTAAACAATCAAAGGTGCTTAGAAATTAGTACGACAGTAATTGAATGGAAAATTGCCAACGGGACTTGGACTGCGCGTTCCTGCCTAGGACTGAACGCCAGTCTGCAAGGACTCCTTACTAGACCCTTTAGTACTCTTAATTATGTGGTACCTGATGTGGAGTTAGTTGAGGACTGGACCGGCAATTTTCTGCTGCACTAATGCACACCCCAATTTCTCTTGGCTGTCGTTGAAAGCGCATTCGCCGATGAAACTGCGGGACATGCTCACCTTGGTGGGCCTTGGGACACAATCTAGAACCCCCGCAGGCAGTCGCATAGAGACTAGTATTGATGCAGGAAGGGATGCCGAGAAATACAAAGGGTACTGGAGTGGCCGTTTTCGACTTATTAGCCGTCATCAGTTAACCATGCCCAACCATAAACACGAATAGCCTGGCACTCGACCACAGAATTCGGGCCCGCATCTCAGATCAGATACTGTTAGCTAAGGGCGGTTAATAGGACAGAACTGACCACCCCAGTTCCCTTGTCTTTTACGTATTGTTCCTCGTCCGGACTTTGTTCCAATGAGGGTAAGAAGACGGGACGCGGATGCCACAAGAGACTGCCTCGTTGTAAATAACGATAAACAGTGTAGGTTTCCTTAATCAGAAGTTACCTGAGACGAACACGCGGATAGTAAAGATAGCCTGAGAACTCCTGCTAGTGCCATATAGTTCTTTTTTACTGAATACGCTCATTCAGAACGCATATCCGATAGCAGGATAAGGCGCAGCAGCCTGTCCTTGTGGGGTAAATCACCAGGACACAGTGTTGCCGGGTTCGACCTCATATTTCCGACCAGGAAGATGAATCGTTGTTCTTCCGAAGTGGTCAGGAAACCAACAATTGAAGAGAGATCTTCCTACACTCGTTCCAATCATTTGCAACTTTCTCGTCTCTACCCTAGTCTACATGTGACTGTCTGCTGGCTATTATCTTGGAAAACTGAATCGGGATGTGCATGCTGCATGCTGCAATCAGCTCGAATTATTCCGTCTCCGACAGATAACTTTGATTTTATGCCGCCCAAGAATGTCCTTGTCTTCAAGCAATACCACACAGAGTTGTCGATCTTCTCGGCTTTTCGTGATACACTTCCCCACTTACTTAGTGGGCCCTTTTCATTGTCTGACTTCAAACTACAATCTCATTATCAAAATTAGAGACGGCGCCTTTGGTTAATAAAGGTCAGCTAAACGGCTGTAACATTCCATACACTCCCGAAGGTCGACAGCTAGTGAAATGGTAGTCGAAAAGAGATAAATGAATGAATTTCGCTTTATTATTTCTGTGAAAAATTCTGATAGAGCTTTAAACATTAGTTCTATACAAAGCGGAATTTGAAACAGAAGTATCCATCTTGATTGATTGGCTGTTTGGCGTTCTCACAACGGACACGAAAGCTGTTTGTCTTATGATAGTGATATGCGAGTAGAACAAACCTGGAACGCAACGGCGCTCTTACAGATATTAAAAATATGATGTACAGAAGTGTAATGCGAAGGCGTGAATTGGTTGAAGGCTGAATCTGATAGAAATTGAAGTTAAAATACAATATGTTTGAAATAAATCTGATACACAATGCAGGATGTCAAACGCAATATATTTATCAAGCCTTTAACCCAGATGGACATGAACGGAGCGCTTCTCCCATGGCATTTTTGGCGAGCATCGGAATCTGAAGTGCCTTATTTTCCTTGTAGTGCATCAGAATGTCTCGATCTAGAGGGCAGCAAGCAGTAAACGTGGGGTCCTCATACATTGCCTTTACATAGTTCCAAACGTTTGGAAACGTAACAGGAATGTCCCAGTTCTTGATGGCGCGCAAAACAACACGCAGGTGTTGTAGTCGAGGCATCAGTACACAGTCCGCAAATGAGAGCGTGTCGCCCAAAAGAAAGCGAGTGTTCCGTTTTTGTAAGTAGTCCTCCAGACGTTGGAGAGCATTCAGCAAAGGTCGTTCCATGCCATTGCGGGCAAAATTGAACATGCTCTTGTAAATATCAAGAAAGGCAAGCTCAGCAGTCGCCACGTCCTCCGATTCAAAGGGAAGTTTCATGTCGGGGTGTTGAAACTTGCGCAAAAGAGATTCTAGTTCGTCGGTGGTTGAAGCAGCTAGTTGGAAGTCAGGAAGAAGTACAGCCGGAAGGCGTCTTGAGGCGTGCAGGTATTTGTAATCCTCGGGCTCATTATCGAAACTCACTGGCACAAGTTCTAGCTTGATAAGATTTTGCTCCGACATAAAATGAAACACCATGAGCCATTGCTGGCCAAGAACATCAGCAGCAGGTTGATCCCGATTGTAGAACGCAGCCTTCACAAACAATCGCACTTCGGGAAGGCCTGGAAGCTGTCGCAGGGTTTGTTGAAATTCGTCGGTCTATAGAAATTAAAGATACGTATAGAAACACAGGTCCTCTTTAGGGGAAATAAAGACCAATCTACTTCGATACCTTATTGCTGTCATTAAGTAAGAATCTCTGTAATATATTAGGCGGGTATTCTAAGAAATGGGTCAACAATTCTCTTAATCTGCAAGATACAAAAGTTTACATGAACATGGTACAGAATGAAATAATCGCAGGAGGCCAAAAGTGCTTGATAAATGACTAAGCCATTAAGGAAAGAAACATCACCACGAGAAGAACATGGAAGGAAGTTCAAGGAAAATTTTTAAAAGCTATGTAACTCGAAAAGACCTAACTAGTGAGCATTTTTCGCCTACTGGCATCCATCGCTGGTACATTTGTGCATATAAATCACTTTGATCGTGTTACGCTATAACGTAGATACAACCACGGCCATTTCACCACTTTGAAATCTGACGACATTTTCTAGCCACACCTTACATGGTCTGTATCGTCTGTGTCCTCAAAAATCTATTTATTTAATTGACGCAAAATATGCGGTCAAGAGCTAAAATGAAGAGAGGATGCTAACTTCTGCCAAAAGAAGAAAGGGGTTACAGGACGCAGGTTTCGTAAGCAGAAGGCTTTCAATAGTGTAGATGGTTGCAGAATCGACTCCGAAACTAATGCAAACAAGCGATTCTGAATATCACACTCAGGTTCCACAGTCCAAATTATTGCCTTACTTTCTAATGCCTATTTTTACCGTGTATTGTTCCGCAAACAGCCTAGTTTGTATTTCTTCCTCACATTTCCCGAGATAGCGATCGCCATCGGCCCCCTCATGAGGCGCGGCTATGAGGGGGGCAGAGGGGTCTGGTGCTGGCAGGGGACACTGACGATACGGCAAATTAAAAAAGCTTCTTACAAACCAGAAGAAGCCTTATTCTCAACTCATACTGCGTGGTAAAAAACACACATGTCAGCGCAATTGCATTATACCTGGCAATTTGTTTCCACAGTCGGCAGTGCAGTTTCACATTAAATATTAATGTTAAGAGAGTTTAACTTAAGCCTTCTGCAATTGCTTTGTCTTCTACGCAAATGCACGTCACGCAATTCGGACGCAGGCAGACATATCTAACGACTTGAACGCAAAACGTCGTAAGATTACAGCTAAGATAATTCATATCAGGGTGTGAAAGTAGTCCATATAAAAATACGCGCAGGAGATGACTTATAAAAAACTATCAAACACATGCTCTATGGCGTATCCACGTTGTACTTGTAATACTTTTTCGTCAACTTTTTAAAAGCATGTGATAGCCAGTCGTACTCTTCAGACTGAAAATTAAAAAGCCAAATGGAACCTTACCGAAATTGACATCGCGCGAATATGAGATTTCGTTTCTTAGTGCGCATCGGGGCGCTATTATGTTTATATATATGTTTTCTGACCAATAGCTTCTCAGTTTGTGCAGAATGGGTAAAGCGTTTGCTCAAAGGGGTTGGAGATAGCAACTCTGGATAAACAATTTGCAGTTAAAGTCTCCAGATCTCAGAATGGTAGGGAAGCTCGTTTAAAGGATCGGTGAAAGCATGCCACTCAGGTGAGTGACCAGAGAGGCAAATCAGTGAATAATGAGAACAGTTCAGAGGAATGTAAAAGGAAAATCAAGTATGAAAAACCACGTCACAGGATGGAAGAAAAAAATGACTGCTAAACATTGAACTATCTACGGATGCCAGACGCCAATCAGAATGTTTAAATGGAAGTAAGTGCATTTAACTCGTATTTTACCGGTAATAGAATACCGTGAGGAACAGCGATACGCATTAAGTTATTTGGGGTTCCTTTTTTTCTGTCTTTCATCCTTCCACGCGTCATCACAGAATTGCTTGGATATTGCTCACGCATGCTCACTCATATTCTCCTTGTCATAATTTCCATAAGCGTCACTGACAGGCTGCAGGAACGCCACCAACCTAGCCGGTGGACGCACAAGAAGCCTGTTGTCCTTGAAGTATTATAGGACATACTATAGTTTAAATTGGAAAATGCGGAGATAAAATGCATAAAAAGTTTGCAGATAGCGTACCTTGGGTTGGGACCTTAACATCGGGCATATACAGGCAAACTGAAATTTAAAAGATCCAAAGTGAGCAAACAGACTTGGCTGCTCGATATTTATTTTTTCATGATCTCAAATGAAGATGAATTGCGAGAATCACTCTCGCAGACAAGATTCTAGAACCGCTCGAAATACGTTTTAATAAGTAAGTGAAGAGATTGAGAGCCCCGGAAGGTGCTATAATAAGCCTATTTTATTGTATTTTATTTAGATTTTGAGCGTTCTGACGAAGCTTGCAAACACTGGGTCGGCTAGCGCTTAAGAAATATAGTTTGTAATTTTCCGTCATCGTGGATTTTCCACTTTTTCGAAACCGTGGTCGACTGCGCGCTTTTCCTGATCTGAGGTGTCAATAATCGAGTTGGTAAAAGAGTACTTACCGAGGTCTTCTTAGGAATATAAGAACTTTCCTCTGACAGATTTTCGCCATCAGTTCTCAGGGTGTTATAAAATCAACGACGGTTGAATCTGTTTTTAAATTCGCCTCATATCGTTTATCTTTTCAAATTTTGGTCACTGTCCTTATATAAACATTTCTCATCATCACCAGCTAAACTTGAACACTGAGCCTGACGAATCATCAGTAAATCCAAATGGGTTGCCACGATTAAACCTTGTTAACAGGAGACCAGAGACACGTAGGTCATTTTCAAGACTAGGCTGATGAAAAGTCGGAAATGTAAATTTTAGCTGGTTTATCTTAACCTGCCGGCAAATACATTGCATGTATGGGCAGGTTGCCGTCCGTTCACCTCGCACCAAACAGGCAAAAAGCTCAGTAGCTTTTAACTACGTGACTTATGAAAATGAAATTTGCGTCGGCTGTTTAAATCGCATACTAAAAGTCTAAGAGATGGAAACTGAGACAAACAAATTGAAGATATAATTCCATACTGTGCTTATTTCAACAAACGAAGAGGGAACACAGGAGTCCAAAGGCAAGAAGAGGAAGAAGAAAAAGAGGAAGAAGAAGAAGAAGAAGAATAAGAAGAAGAAGAAGAAGAAGAAGAAGAAGAAGAAGAAGAAAACAAAGACGGTTGCAGAGCATGATCGTGCGGGTCTTACTGTAGAATGCCAGGCACACAGAACATCCATGAGACGCGAAATCGGGGCCGACGAAGGCCAAAAATCTCAGACCAGACTTGAATCACGGAAATTTGCCGAATCCACCACTAACTTTACAACTTCTAATGTGCGCGCATTCGGACATTTTTCAAATCCAGTGATTTAAAATAAACTTAATCGTCTAGTACATCTGATTTTACCTAAATCGAAGGAACTTCCAGTGTCAACAATAAGGCTAGCTCGAGTAGGCGTTTCTAAATTAATGCCGGCGCTGAAATTTGTGAACCAGTTACTTCCGCGTCAAGTGACATGCATAAAGCAGGCAATGCAGAACAAAATGATAATTCTAAGATACAATGCGGCCTGTGTCATGGTCAGCTGGTGACAACACATTCTTAAGGCGACAAACCAGTACCACAGGCAAAGTCTCGCCGGACAGAGGGCGGTACATGATACTTTACGGACTTCCCGAATTCGCAGCCAGTACCCCCAAAGAGCGAATTGCGGCAGATCTGGTGTCCTCCAAGTTTCCCTAGACTAAATTCTCTAGCGCACTGAGGAAGTTGCGGTGTTTAAGGTAGGTCGACTTGGGAAGCGCTTAGCCGGCATACCAGTGTCCACGTCTCTGTCCCTGCAAAGTAGTGCCGACTCATCAGGAGAAAGCTCGAGTTATTCTCTCACGACGATTCCGAATCAAGAATACCAACCACGGCGTTTCTTTTAACCAAATCGCACACCGGAAAAGAGAAGGCGACGTCGACAACTAGTTCAGCAGCTGGAAAGGAGATGGAGTAATGGGACAAAATCTGGTCATCTACAAAAATCAGATAATACATACCCCTCATACTTCGAGGTCAAGGCGCGCAGCTCAATTTCAAAGATAAGTAAGGCTTTGCATTTATCTGGATATTCTTAAGCAATTAATGCCTGTTTTTTACTTGAGTCCCCTATAAAAGTCGCCTTTTAATATAAGGTATAATTTTTACCAGATTTGTTTGACAGTCTGGCAAAATAGTCATATTTTGTAAAAAAATCCATTGTAGTGACTCCTTTCCCTACTATCTCTTTCTAGTTTTCGTAGTTAAATAACAGTAGCACTTGCTATTTAGTGCGCTTTTCCGTACGTTGGCAACGTGTTGATCTTTCTTCTGTAACGAAAAACATTTATTGTCTGTAATGCCCCGCAGAGAACGTGCTAAAAGGCGAAAGCTTGCGGCCTCCCCACCGTCTCTTGGTGCTAAAATCGTGACTGAAGACATGGCAGGTGCCAGCGTGTGTTCTTCGCCGTCCGCAGATCTCATTAACTCACAAACCCCTTAAGTAAATGTAGAACCTCTTGACACTTCAGTCGTCCAAATATACGCCTCTGCTAGTCGTAGCAGGCCATCAGCTGGCGAAATAGTCGACCAGTTGATTTATGGCGACATAAACAGCACTTCTGAAAAAGTGCTTGAACAAGCTTTCAAACTTATTAGGGTAATAAGTTCTGAAACTAAGAAAAGAATTAAACGCAAGCATAATTTCGTACTGTGAAATATTCCGAGCCCCTTATCTGCTATGGAGGGAGCACATTTGTTCCTACAAAGTTGTGGCTTGAGTTTCAGTGTCGCACAAGCTAGGCGACTTCGCTCGCTTAGCCGTAATGCGCCGATACTAGTTACCCTTTTCCCCATGATAGAAGTTGATTTTATCTTAACGAGTGGGGAGATAACTAGAGACTTCTGCCGTAAATGGCGCTGCTCCGTTTCGCCAGACCTCACACCCCTGCAGCGAAGGCTGAATAAATTAAAATCGCCAAAAACCAACACCAAGATAATGACACCTACTGTCAGTCTGAATAAGTCCTCCACAACACCATCTGCGGCATCTGCACATCACGGCATAGTCAATTCCGTAAGGAATTCGACTTCGTTTAATGCTGAGCTCTTTAAACACACCATCACGCCTGGTATAAACAAGCCTCTATCGACTCCCCCAGCAACACCTAGAAAGCCCAAGCATGTGCCTTAGTCAAATGCAAATCCACTTGCTGTCTCAGCCACTCGGACACCCGATAAATCCAGCACGATTACAAAGTCTTTTTCTCCACAATCGGCTTACAGTGCCTCAAATACCCCGACTCAAAACATAGCGTGTTCCCAACTGCACCCCAGCCCTTGTATCGAGGCAGTTAGGCCGAATATGCCCATTTTCCCGCCGTTTAATAGAACTCTTGCTCCAATGGAAACAATGCGTCCCCCACCCCATAACTTGTTTCCTCCACGGCCGTTTTATCAATGTATCCCTCATGCTAATGTCCAAACTGAATGAGATAACTCATCCGATCCGCAGTTTCGTTCCGCCGGGAATACGTTGCAGTATCTGCCCCGCGGATTTCCAGCTGAAAATAAGTTAGCTAACAATGGTTACCAGTTCACCTGCCCGTCATTTCCTCCCCCAAGTCCTACCCCTTTTTATCCACGTCAGAATTTTTCGATGCCAAAAAATTTTTTGCGGAACCGGATGGTTGCATCCGGACCGTTTGCTCCGTGGGAAGCCCAGAACTGGACGATGTAGCCCAACTCCCTCAGAAACAAACAGCCTTTCCCTTCACACTTTTTGTTTTAAATGCCAGATCCTTGCTTAATAAGATGCCTTTGCTTCAGACTCTGGCGTTCCTCCGTTGTCCAGATATTGTTTTAGTAACTGAGACATGGGCATCAGCCTCAGTAGCTGACTCCGAACTCTCGCTTCTAGGCTATAATTACATCCGAAATGATCGCCAAGATAGCCGTGGTGGGGGCTGCTGCGTCTACATTAAGCAAACACTTACATTTTTTCCGCTTGACCTCCCGCATTTTTCCGCAGTAGAAGGCAGTTGCTGGCTCCAATTTGCACTAAAAAATAAGTTCTCCTTACTCGTTGGCTGTCTAACGCACTCCCAACTCCAATGACAATTTTGATCGTTTACTCTCACAGACATTTCATGCTGCGGCCGATTCAAGCTTTAAGTGTCAATTGGTTGCGGGTGACTTTAATTTCCCTATGGTCCGCTAGTCTCCGCTTTCAGGCTCCAGAAGGTTCGAAGACTTCCTTGAGGCTGTGGATGTTGGGATGTGGAATCAGGTTGTCGATTTTCCCACCCGAGCCTCAAGCATACTTGACCCAATTTTCTGTAGAGGCTGCATGCCATCATCAGTGTCATCCCTAG